TGGTATTTCTGTTTTTAATCAGTGACAACAGTAGGTGTGGTAATAAGTTTTGTGATTTCACAAGTAATGACTCACAAAATTAGAAGAAAAATAGAAGATGCATGTATATAGAGTAAATATGTAAATACATAAATATAGAATATGTTACTAATTAACATTTCAAGCCGTTGACTGCTTGTAACCTGGGAAGTCATAAGATGAAAAGTATATACTATTGAGAATCAGCACTACAATAGCGATTAGCTAGAGTTGCTGCACGTAGTAAGATTAGCAGAGATCAAGTTAAGATACTTTTACAACAAAAAGAGAATGAAAATGCTCTAAGATTACAGAACTTAAATACAAAAACATATCAAAGAAATAAGGACACTATTGTACACAAGTAACTAACAAAGGGTCTGTATGGAGTAGACAAGTGAGTCCTACTGAGCTGAACAGAGCTATCCAGCTCATTGTACGTTACACAAAAGAGGGCATAAGACCACAGGAACATGAGATCATACATTAATTCAAAGTACATGTTTACGTAAATAGCAATTAACACAAAATATACAACCTACTGATTACATGTACACATGTCATACATATTACAACATATACCTCTTGTAGAGTAGACTATTCCTGATATCACTGGTGGGACCAAGTATACTAGTTACATACATGCATGCTACATGTACTTACTCTTAATATGGTGTCCTAATGCCTTTTCTAATGGCAATCTCATTATTAATTCTACCATACACTGCTAGTGTTGTTAATTGTGATTATGTACATGTACACACATAATGTATTTGACTAGACTTGAAATCAATTGAATATTTGTAGCAAAAAGTAAATATAAATGGACTCAACTATACTAGCAATAATAATCTGTTAGTTTTCCAGTAGACACTGACTGTTTAACTGCTTCTAACTTTCATTTCAGTTGTCTTCAGTGAATAGTAGTATCCCTTGAAATCATACCAATTGACACCATTGGCATATGAGGAGTGAGGCCCAACCAAGTAGAGACCGTTGAGGTTTGAACGATGACAATTGTTATACCACCATGCTCCTTTATAAGCTATTGCACAGGTTCCTGAGGAGTTGTCATTGTCTTGATCTTTGGTGGAGAACTTCATTCCATTATGAAGGCTCAGACTATCACCAGCATCACCTCCATATCCAG